CTGAGAAAAAGACAAGTGACTCTAAATACTGAAACTTCTGTTTTCAAGTGAATTAGACAATCCAGTAAGCTTAGTGAACTACCGAGTTCTGTCCACAGAATGGGATTTGTTTCCTCAACAGTGTAGTCAGTCATGATTCCTTAAAGGCACCAGTTTCTTGGACAGTAAAAGGAACTAAATTAACAAAGTCTCCTTAGACTAAAAGTTTCAACCGCTGTATCAGAGAACAGCAGCAATGCGGAGAACATTTAATATTCATGTTAAGTGTTTTTGAGAATCTGCCTTTCAGAAAGAAATCAGGCAAAGCTTTGCAGAAATCAATGAACAGCACAGCTTAAGAACATTTATTATGTATTAGTTCTGTTGCCAAAGATCTTTTCTTTTCTGTTTATTGAGAGAGACAATGCCTTGAGGCCCTGATAAAAGGCAGCAAGTAACTTTTGGATGAATTGTTTGCCGGGGGTATGTTTCCTAACGCTTGCCTTTCAGTATTAGGTTCTAACTGCTGTGCTCAGATTACTGAAGTATTGCACTTCTTGGCTAACCCCACTGATTTGCAAGAACTTGAAGAAGGTTCTCACATTTTGGCAAACCTGTGCGATACAAATCGGGCACTTGGGATTTATTTCTGTAATGGGATCAAGAAGGTTACGTCCAGAACCAGGGCTGTTCCATGCTTCTTAGGCTCTGCGTCCCAATGCTTGCAGTGCCCCAACAGTTGTGTGGCAAGTTATGCTCTCTTCTCTTTTTATAATTTGTTTGGAAATGTTTGTTGTAAGAATAGAGCATTTGGTTGCAATTTGGACTCTAATAATTTTGATTGGCAGTTTGACTGTTCTGAAGCTTTCATGAATCTCTGTGGCAATACGTAAAACATCTAAAACTATTCAGAAATCTTCAGAAGTCAGGGATCTTGACGGGAATGCCGTGCTGTTTTCTGATGAAGTCTGCGCTTAGTACTTCCAACTGGAAGGCAGATTTAGAAGAAATGTAACAGTTTGCTGCCCTCTATGGCCAAGAAAAATATTTATTCTCAAATTACCCTAGCATTGTTTAGGATTTAGGCTATACAACAAAGTCTAATGAGAATTCGTAACAATTACTGAGTTTAAGAAACAGGTCTACTAGGATAAACTAAAACATACCACTTTCTCTGCTGAACAAAATAAATTTAGTAGTTTATGTGAATGCATGTTAGTAGATGCAGGAATACCAGACCTCAGGGAGTAAAGAAAGCAGGCTTTCACACATTTCGAGCAGCTTGCAAATGACCTTAGAAATAATAATAATTTATAATTATAATTGGTTTTTTCCCAAATTCTGTTGGCTGAATGTATGCATAAATATTTTCCTGACAACCATCTATTTTGCATGGAAGTGAAATCCCCAGATTTAGCTGCCTTTTCTGTATGTGAATCTTTTGTCATCTGTCCACTGTTCTCTGTCTTTCCTGGCCAGGGAAACAGAAGTGCCTTGGTGTTTTGAAGACAGCTCTGTCATCTTTACGCTAGGGAACCTATTAGAATAAAACATTAAGAGAAGCTTGCATCTACTGGCTTTCAACACTGTTTTTTGTCTCACCTGGAAAAAATATGCATGTACACTTGTTAGCATAAGAAAGAGTGAACAAGAACTGTTTGCAAGCTGATGTCGTCTAAAGAGATTCCACTTACTGGCACATTGCTGGCAGGAAGACATCTCTTTTGCTTTAAACTTTAATAACATACTATCTCCTCTGGTAAATTCTACCCATCTGTTGTCAAAAGAAAGATGCAATCTGGAAAAAAAGAAATTCAGTGAAGATTTCAAGGTCCTTTATGTGTGTTCAAATATGGTGTTGAGGTATTTGATAAAACTACAGGTTCCTTATTATGGGTATTCTTTCACATTTTAAGCAATTCTCTTTCATCTGATAAAACATGTAAGAAAATCAACCAAACTGCAAAATAATAACAAAAGAAAACAAACAAACAAAAAAAACCCACCCACACACCAGTAAGTTTTCCTTCCCTTTGTAATGCAAGGGAATGAAAGTTCTAGGTTTTGTTGCCTTCTTTGATTTTACATTACTGCTGCCTTTTGAGATTAGGTTTTGATGTAAACCTATTTCAGAGGGTGGCTTATGGGGAAGTGAAGTGATTTTTGAGTACTTCAGTGGGTGTCAATCCTTCTCTGCTCTGATGGCCATTCAGGTCACCTGACTAGCATAGGGATGTATGTATTCCTTTCCTAGGGGCAGTGGAGATTTTTAAACCACCGCTGTGTTTTCGGAATACAGAGGATTTTCTACTAAGCCTGGCCCTGCAACCTGTTTTAATTGCATGACTGTGATGGCCGCGTACTGTGGCAAGAGGGCAGGAACATATTGCAGAAGACAGAGGAAGAAGTGCCGTTCACTAAAGCAGTACTGCCAGTAGTATTGAGAACAAGGTGCTGCTCACAGCTAACATGAGTTTTCCTTTGACTCCATCCACATCCGCAGTCCGTATGGCACAGGCCTGACTTCTCCCCTAAGCAGCCACACTAGGGCATGAGTGGAGAGAATATGTTTGTCCTCTGACAGTAGTATCAGTCTTGCAGTATTTTAGGCCTGAGTTTTGGAAGACAGTGCTATTTAAAGGAGCACGTAGAAAGAATTGCAATGAATTATTTGGCTGGACTTTTCAACCCTTTCCCAAACTCAGCTCAATAATCTGCTCCATTAAGCAATATTGCAGTAGAGAATGTTAGTTCTAGATATGCTGGTAGATCTGTATAGTGCAACACAACTCTGCAAAGGTCCCAGCTTGGATCTTGAAGGACACATGGTTGACACTCAGAGGGTGTGTTTAGAAGGTGCTGTGAAGGTGGTCTCAACCTGTTAATCTTACTTTACAATTACATAGACTAGAAGATCACTGGATGAGTGGTAATTCACTAAAATAACAATATTCAGTGGTTTGCAATCATGAGCATCACTCCAAAACTTGGGACTGCCCTGCACTGTTATGTTAATTAATGTCCAGCTGCATTAAGACAAGGGTGATGGTTTCTGCGGTTAATGGCCTCTGGTTTCTTATTTTAAGGTAGCACCTTGTCGTGGTTTAACTCCGGCTAGCAAAATACCACGAAGCTGCTCTCACAAATCCCCCTCCCCTCCTTCAGTAGAGGGGATGAATTGGAGGAAAAAAAAAGAAATAAGGAAGCTCGTAAAATTGAGATAAGAACTATTTACTAATTAAATATAACTTAATATATACAAGTACTACTAATAACAAATAATTAAAACAACATAAATTAAAACATATGAGGCGGAGCTGTTGTGGGAGGGGGAGCTTGACACAGTAAAGAGATTTAACCCTTTTCCTGGCTGAATCCAGCACACACCTTACTGTGGGTATTTAGTATTTTCTCTATTAATGCATACATCTGTTGCATTAAAATCTTTGCTGTGGGTGTAATGGTTTTACTGCAACTATTGCAATTGTGTCAAAATATATGCCTGGGGCTGAAACTGCTGTTGTGATTCAGGAAATGGTTATAATCATGTGTCCTGTCTATTTGGTTCTGGCCATTTAAAATATTTTTGATATCTTTTCCTTTTAGGGTGATATATTGAATACCAAATACCAGGTAGATCTTGGAGATGGCTTTAAGGCAATATATGTGAACCTTACGATGACTGGAGAACCCATCCGTCACCACTATGAGCATCCTGGTATTTACCGTGTCTCGGTGAAGGCTGAGAATGTGGCTGGACATGATGAGGCTGTGGTGTTCATCCAAGTCAACTGTAAATCAGCTCTTTGGTTTTCTTACTTTTGCTGATGTGTAAAAATGTTATGATTACTATGAAGTAGTAAAGTACTAGTCATAATTGGGAAAAATGCCTTTTTTTTTTTTTTTTAATAACCTCCCATAGTCTTGCAGTGCTGTATGTTGTTAACACAGGGCTTGTAAACCTAATGTATTAGGAGGTCAGGGTTACTTTTGTTTGTGTCTGGGAGAAAGATGGTCTATTAATCTTTTAAATAGCAAGCAAGTTCAAATCTCAGGTTTGATCCATCTTCCTCATTCACGACTCCATTGGCAGTATGAACAGCTAAAATTTAACACTTCAAGCTATGTCTTTTTAGGAACTTCTAAGTTCTATGTGAAGCAAGTGAACAGATGTGACGAGAAACATATGGAAAGTATGATTTTTAAAAATAATCAAATTCTCAGTGTTTCTGAAAGTCAGGCTACTTATTAAAGTACAGAATTTAGATTTTAAGTAGTTAATTCTCACAAGGTTTTAAAGTGGTATTTGGGTACGACTTCATGTTGGCAGGCAGTATTACTTGACGTAGATTTCTCTCCCTCTCCTTAATTAAGATTTAAAAAACCCTATCAGATAGATTTAAAAGAAAATAATGGTGTGGCACAGGGAATATCATGCACCATCGCAGGCTTAATGTACCTCAGTCATCTCATAATTGAAATGAAGAAGGAAACATAACTGGAACTGAATTTTCCTCTTCCTTCGAGATTCAAGACAGCCATTGCTTTGCGTGTTTTCAGATGTGTCAAAAATTCAGAAACAAGTAACATCAGAAGAAAATATACTCATCTTGCATTCGCGAGGTGTCTGTTTCCCTCTGTTGTGAGTGCTGTGTCTTCCATCCTAATCCCAAAGCAATTGAAATCACTGAAGCCACATACAAGGCTGTGCACAGATCTGTATGCTGTATATCAGCCTGTCTGGTGACTGCTGATGTTTATGTATTTTGCTAGTCAGAGTCCTTGGGTCCAGGGTTTCCAGTTCTGCTTCGAATAGCAGATGAAGCCTGACCCTTTAATGTTAATGACCAATCTCCTATTAAAATCAAATGGAAAGTATCAGAATTGAATTCTCCACCTCAGTTTTGTGACCTGTTTCTTAGTTGTGTTAGTTTTCTAAATAATTTGACAACTTCAGGGAGCTCAGATAAATTACTTGGACTTCACCATTACTTTTTAGGAGCTTCTAGTAGATCTGTACAAGCAATAAACAGCAAAAAAAAAAATCTGTGTAACATCCTTCTCTCTGGGGAGAACAACTTCTTACTGTTCAGAGAATGATGAGCAGTAGCAAGTCCTGATGAAAAATGGAGCAATGACTTTCCCAGAATGTGCTTTTGGTGTGGCCTACATCAGGGTAAACAGTAAAAATAAAAGATACCGATTGTGTTTTATTCAGTGGATTTACAAATTGCAGAAAATCTATTTCTAGGAGGAGCAAATTTAATGGAATTCCTACAATTTCTGCATTTTCCTCAAGACATCAGCAACAGAAGCATTTTAACTCTGTTTTTGTAAAGAAGCTGTTGAAGAACCATTTGTTTAAGCACCAAACATGTCTTGAATTGACATAGGTGGTTAAAGAGTCATCGGAGAAAACACAGAATGAAAGTAGCGCCTTTCCTTCAGATGAAGCAGCACACAGGCCGGTTGAAGTGAGGTGGAAAAGGAGAGTGTGCCCAGCTCAGACCGCTTGCTCTCAGACGAGTTCAGTCCGTTCAGTCCAAGTGAATTAGTAGTGAATGGGCAGTGATTCCGTTCATGGAAGATAGTAAGAGAAATACTTTGGACCAGTGTTAATTACCTCTTAAGTTTGCGCTGAGACGAAAGACCTTTGAATGAATTAAAAGACACTTAGAATGGAACAAAAATGTATATGTTAGTATTCGTTCTGTGTAATGAAAGCATGCTGGATCATACAGCAGCTTGGTATCCTGGATAGATGGTGCAGCTGAAGTTAATAAATCCTAGTTATCACATGATACTATATCACAGTATTATAAAGCTTTTGTTTTCAGAGATTCTGAGAGAGATATACTTGGAAACTTGCATTTCTGTCATACAAATACCAGTGTTTACAGCCTTTGTAGGCAAAAGTTCACAAAGGAACAAACTTACTCTAAGGCACATTTTGGAGTACATAAGTTATCTACTTTGATTTGCAAATCAATGCTCCCCTGATGTGCACGTGTTTTAAAGCATGTGTTAATGAGAGTTTATGTGCAGTGTGAGCCTAACAGTTAATATTTTATAATGAAAATGAGTAGTCAGCAACATTCTTTTTCAATTTTCTGCTTTTCCTTTAGCAGTTTGTGATTTGTTAGATTTCTGTTAATTTGATCTTTTATTACTTAAAAAAAGCTCAGATTGCCTTTTCCACTTTTTAACTGGGGTATTTGTTTACATTTTCTAGAATTGAACATGCACCAATAAAAAGTGCATCAGAGATGTGCATTTTGGTGATCTGTCACATTGCTCTAGGATTTTGTTTGTAGGTTTTAGTTTTTTTGATGGTTTTGTTTGTTTTTTGGGGGGTTTTGTTTGTGTTGGGTTTTTTGTTTGTTTGTTTTTTTTATTAAAATGAGGTCCTTTCAATTATGCTTTCAGCTTTCAACACAGATGTAAAAGCAGGAGGGAGGGGAAAAATAAATTGAGTATTTTATGGTGTGCAGGTGATAGGGTTTTCAGCAAAGAGGCATTAATAAATTGATGGATTCTTGTTCAGTAATATTTTGGAAACTTTGTTCAGCTCCGCTGCAGGCTTTAAATTTAGAAGTGGTTCCAGTTGTTGGAAGAAACCAGGAGGTGAATCTGACAGCTATCATAATGCCCAAGAACCCTAATTTGACAGTCTTCTACTGGTGGATAGGAAACAATCTTCAGGTACATGAATGGTTATGACTGAGAGTCTTTCCAATAAAGGTTGAGTTACACCTTTTACGTTAATAGAAATATTACAGTGTTGCATGAATTCTTTTAGATCATCTTTCATTCCAAATAGCCAGTTATGTCTGATGGTCAGTAGTATCTAACTTGCCTTGTTTTATCACATACATTTAAGGTGTTAATTTCCCTTTATTGCTACTTATTTGGAAATGGAAATTTCTCTTCTAGAATTTGTTTGAACTTCTAAACTGCTTTCTTCTGGGAGGAACAACAATTTTTTCTATTCCATTTCCTGTGCAAAAAAAAAGACTTGTGGAGAGGGGGGTGCATTTGGCACATAGCATTGGTGAATGATGAAACTTGGATTTATGCACTTCCATGTTGATAATGTGACTACTGTAAATTTAAGTGCTGAACAAAAATACATATATTCATTGTATAGACAAATATTTCTGGGAGTTTAAAATAAACTGGCATGTGAAAAATAACTGGGATATTTAAAAGGATATGAAAACAGTGAGAGCACTCTAACAATCTAGTGCTATTCACTTGGGGATAGAAAGTCTAGATAAGCATATCCTAGAGCAATAAATATCCAATTATTTCTATTGGAAATATTTCTTGTCTAGCTGGGTTAATTTCTTTTAAGGTTATTCTTTCAATAACAGATAAGTAAAATATTTTCTCTATGAGGCAGACTAAGCCTGACAGAGAAATGCTTCAGATAAGTGCAATGAACTTTCTTCTTGTAAATGTGCTGTCTACCATAATCCCAGCCTGTATCTGTTCATCATTATTGACTTTGCCGTTCCTAGAACAGGCACTGCAGATCGATGTAGTCTTGTGAAGGGTTTTGTAATTCATACGGATGTGGTCAGAGAACAGAGTATCTCATCTCTGCCTTGAAGGTTATGGGGGACTGGTGCACTTCCATGGGTCATGCTCTGAGTCAACAGAATTAATCCTTTTGACCCTCACTATACCCTACATTTTTTGAGGCAAATGACTTTCTACATATGATCTTGTAGAGATTGTTGAGCCTGCTTCAAAATCCATTTCATTCAGATCCAAGTGAAATAAAACCTAACACTCTACTAATTATTGCAGAAGAAAAGTTTGCCCCATCCAGCAGCTACTTTCTTTATAAAGGATCTATTTAGATATAGAAACATCCTGTGTTGAAAATTGTAATTGAAAAATTTAATAAAATGTTGATTAATTGATGTGAAAACTTTTTTGTTAATATTTTTAATGACAGTCTTTTCACACACTGTTCTTGTGGTTCTTGCTGAAATTCTATTTTCAACTTTTCTTTGGTTTTTTTTAAAGCCACTCCTTACACTGGAGAGTTTTCTGTTGACAAAGTTTGCTGAGACAGGTGACGTCAGAGTTACAGTGCAGGCTTCCTGTGGGAGCTCCATGCTTCAGGACTCAAAAGTTGTCCATGTTTTTGGTGAGATGCTACTTACTCATTTTTCTTTGTTTCATGTGTATTTGTTCCTTATACCTTTTAAACCAGCCCTGACACAACTGGAACTGTTGTAAAATCATACCTAATGACACATTTAATTCTTAAAATTAGAGGGATGAACTGTCACAAGGTCACTCCATGAAGTTGAACAGTGTGATTGTATGGGAGGGTTTAGTCTAAAACCTTTTGTTTCCTTTGCTTATTTTAAATGTTACTATGGTTCCTTGTCGTGGTTTAACTACATGCTACATGCTATATGTAGCAATAGTGTTTAAGCAGTATTTGGGCCTATGACTAGTGTGTTTCTTCGAATTTCTAAAGACAGTAGTGTAAATACCTCTGAAAAAAAGAGAATTTAGTTGTGTATGTAGTCTCAGCATTAAAAACAATGTGAAGTAATTGCCTTTTATCACAATATATCACTGTTCCTTTGATGTGTATCTGAGAGTTTGGATCAAGTATAGCTCCACTGTAATAATTGAAGAACCCTTTTCACATTGTGCCCTGGTGTGTTTTGTTGTGTCTTATAATGTGGTGACAGGGCGTAACATACTGTGAAAACAGTAGTGCTGACAAATTATTTACATTTGTATTGGTGCTGTCACATACGGGAATTGTGATAAGTGAAAAATGCAGAGCTAAAAGCCTTCAGATATCATGAAATACACATGATGCATCTCTATTGTCTGAAGAAGATTCTGTTATTTTTGCTTTTAGTATACGTATTAATTTAAAATAATGGTAAAAAACACATTCATGCTAAATGGAGCTTTTACGAACCTTCTCTTTCCTAAGATAAATGGATTTAACATTTATGCTACCACTTATAAGTGCCTCCATTTTTTAGACACCTTTAGAAGAATAACCCATCTTACTTTGACTAGATCAGTGACTGCTTTTCCAGTTCTGCTTCCTGGTCCTCATGTTGGCCAGTCCTGATATGCAAAGACAGAAAGTACTGGTCATGGGGGAAATAAAGAAACCTCTGGAAAAGAAAAGTACATTAAAATTCTGTTGCAAGCAATGGGGAGGCCAGGTTTGACTCATGCATTCCAGAGGATCTCTTTCTCTGCTTTGCATTAGGTTCCCCAGGTGTTCATCCAAAGACCCTATATGGAACCTGTACTTTAGAGACTGTTTACTAAGGAGCATCCAATTTCTAGTATTTCAGATGTTTTGGACAGTATCCAGAGAAATGTGTGGGTGTACTTTGTTTCTATTTTTTTATATTATTTCAGTTCTTATTTTCGTAGCTAGTAGATGGAATATACAAATTATTCATTTTACATGAAAAATAGAAATAAGTTATGGGCAAAAAACCATATGTTTTGACTCAGTAAGAATAAAATCCATTGATGCATTCCTGTTACAAATAAAAGAAACCAACCACATCTGTGTGATGTGTTTTCCCAAGGAAAAATTATTGGGAAGGTTATGACCCCAGAGCACATATGTAAATCTGCATTATTTTTTTGATTCCTGTGGTTTATTTTGTATAAGGAAGATGAGGATGAACTTCTTTCAGGGCCTGCTGTGATAGGACGATGGGTAATGTTTTTAAACTGAAAGAAGGTAGATTTGAAAGGAAGATAAAAGGAAGAATCTTTTACGACGAGGTTAGTGAAACACTGGCACAGGTTGCCCAGAGAGCTGGTAGATGCCTCATCCCTGGAAACATTCAGAGTCAGGTTGGATGCGGCTCTGAGCAACCTGATGTAGTTGGAGGTGTCCCTGCCTATTGCAGGGGGAGTGGGAACTAGATATCCTTTAAATGTCCCTTGCAACCCAAACTATCCTATGATTCTATGATTTTCAGCTTTTATTTCTACACACTGTTTTTGCAATCTGGTATTGTTACTTGTTTACAAATGTTTGTTTTTGTTTTCTAGATCACTTTCATGTTCTTCCTCTGAAGTTTACTAAGCACCTGGACATGTACAACCCTGACATACCAGAGTGGAGGGAAGACATAGGGCGGGTAGTAACACGACTTCTTGCAAAGGTGCTCTTTCAGATTGCTCGTAAAACGTTCCCTAGCCAGTCATAAAGCTTGAAGGTTAAGTTAATGCCTTCTCATTTAGAAAAATGGAGGCAGAGCAAAATAATAAAGTGAACCTCACGAGTCACATTTCAAGCAAGTTTCAGCCTAGTGTCGCTTTTACGTCCAGGCTATAGGTGATGGTATTGTAACATAGGAAGGGTAGGTCTAACAACAACCTAATTGGCAATTAATGCTAAATATTGGTCCCTGGGATTTGAGATAGACGTATTGGCAAATACTGCTGACTCCAGAACACGAAAAGTAGCTTAAATGTGATATATTTAGAAGTTAAGCAAAGGTTGCTGTGTAATATAAAATACGTAGGCTTTGTGCAAAAACAAAGTAGAAAGAAAAAAATTTACAATGTCACTTGTGTAACTTTAAAGATTATATATAATATATAGGCACAGTTCATACAGCTGGTTTTTTTGGATCATATTCGCAAAAGAAATGTGAATTGGGAGCAGTTGAATCCTGTAGGCTAAAGCAAGTACAAAGTTAGGCAGCAACGCTGTGAGATAAGTAAAAGCACCCTGTAAAAACTGTGAGCTCTAGGGCTGTGCTCCTCAGGCACACACACTGCCAATAACTGAGTGTGCACGTGCTTACTTTTTGGGAGGACAGTAACACTGAGGTGCAGGTTAATAATGTTTTGAAAATGCTTGTGATTGAAATCCCTTGACTTTTTTGGATTTACAGTAGTGCAAATCAGGTTCTGGAATTTTGACATTGTACCTTTTCCTGCCCTTTTTTGAAGATTCACATCAAATGTGAAATTAAAGTAAAATCTCACTTTTCTCAAACCCATTTCATAACCAGTGTCAGGCAAACAAATGTTTCAATCAGTTATAAAATTGTCCTTGCATTTTTAGTAATTACTAAATAATTTGCAAAATAATATGAACAATTTAATGGAATTTCAGAATCTGTTTGAGAAAGGAAGGGTATGGGAAGTGCCCAAGGTATTGTCATTAGAATTGTGTGGCTATATTATACACCCCATGGAGGAATTTGAGACTAAAAGCACAATTTACACAAACTGTTTGGAAAAGGAATGCACTGTCTTTCCGTGGGGGCTTCAGGTATTCATAACAATTTCAGAAAGTGAATCTAGGTGCTCTTAGTCTCACTCTGGAAGACTTCTCTCTGTCCATGAAACACAGATGGAGGTGTAGCATCCCTAAGCTAAAGTCAACTGGAATGAATATGCCCTTCTAAGTCTACTAAGTGTCTGAGTGGTCCACAAAGGATCCTAAATCACTTTGGAATTTTTTTTTTCTGTTACCCTAGAAATGCACAGCCATTGCAGAGTTTTGCTAAAACTGTGTGCCACTTCATTTTGCTTCTTTCCATGATGCCACTGAATCTCTTTAACGCAATAACAATGCTTACCTCTTCCAATCTTCGAAGAGCTGTTCACATTTCTCTTAATCTGTGTTTGGCTTTGTTCATATTCTCGCTCTTGGTGGAATCCCCTCTAAAAATATTAAAGGATCTGAACACCAAAGACTGAAAGATACATGTGGAGTTACTTAAAAGCATGCTCTGCTATAATTTACCTTTTGTCTTTGTCTTCACAGGAAACCAATATACCCGAAGAAACACTCACGACAGTCGTGAAACCTGGTCTGCCCACAACTGCTGACTTGCATGTGCTACTACCAGCAAACCAACCAAAAAGAAAGAGAAGTGTAACTAGCGATAAGGTAACCAGAGCAATGTATGCCTGGTTAGGAGAGTCTTCATCCTGTTTTGCAATCAGCAGATGTACTCTTAATGTCTTTATGGGAAATTAAAAGATGCTCCCTAATTATGTAAAGATCCCGCTCCCACGACAAGAGACAAGTAAAAGCTACCAACAGCTATGACTGCTGAGTCCAGCAGTCTGTAGACCAGCATAACCTAGTGCTTGCTGGTATTGGTCTGTTTCTCAAGAATAACTAATATTAATCAGTTTTTTAAACAGAGACAACAGTGCATGTTAGTCTGTGAAGATCCAGTAGAGCATTTTGAACACTGAGAGTATTTTGAACATTTGAGAGTATTTTGAACACTGATATTTCTGAAGAGGGATGAACCATCTCTGCACTGTCTTCAGAAGCAAATTAAATTTCAGGTCAAACAGAAACAGAACCTTAATAGTTGACCTATAATGTCAAGAGTATCAACCAGGTAGTTTCTGCCTTTATGAGCAAATGGCCTTTTCAATTGGCAATAAACAAATACTTGCCACAGGAATGAAAATCACACATTACTCTTGTCTTTTTTTCCACACCATATTTTTTCCATAATACAAGACCTTATGCCACCTAAAAATCAGAAGGCTGGCACTTATTTATGATACTTGTCTTTTGCCATGAGAGAGAAGAAACAGATCCCAACACTGTGCCTGCATCTTGCAGTTCAAGTCCTGCCAGCGTAAGGTATCATGAATTCTGTAGGGCAATTTACAACTTTTTTTGAGACAAGGTCACAGTATCCAAGGAGCTGGAGAAGTGGGTAAGACAAAGCTCTTAATATTAACACAAAACCAGTAGATTGTGTTTGGCATTGATGGGGTACACTTTGGAATGTCCAAAGGAGTATGTTGATGTTGTCCAAGTACAGGTGACTTGGACATCTCTAACGGGTGTCTTTCTTTAAAAGGCACAGAGTGCAGTGTGAATGCACAAAATTTTCTGCTTTGTAGCAATCCCAAACCCTTATTGCTGTCCCTCTGTAATCATAGTGGGAATTTTTGGGAGTCTGAAATACTGATTATATTGCATGGAACAGCTAATTTAATAGGTTGTATCTTTAGTAGACAGCCATTCATGAACTATGACTTTTAGCCAGGTGAGTATTACCACTTAAAATTATCTGCATCTTCCCACTTCTTGAGGAAGCGAGGTGCAGCTTCAAAGGAAATTCTCTCTCTTTATTCCAAGCATATATGGAATGGGTGTCTTTAATAATTTAAGGTAACTGATGCAATAAATTCTTAGGTTGTGGGAACATTTTATTTCAATGCAGGATGTTATGCATATTAGCTCCCTTTAAATCCCAGCTGATATATTAGCACTGTGCTTCAAGGCAGCTTAAAGAATATCATCAATTATAATCAATGCTGTCTCGAGGGCTTTTTTCATGTTTGCGTATGAAATACCCTGTGAGTTACTTCAGTGCATAAAGAACAGTCACATCTTGCAAATGATTTGGGAAGAATTCTGTTCAGTGGGGCTATGGGGAAATTATAATAGTTTAGCAGGGCACAATTTCTGTAATAAGTAGTCCTCCAGCAAGACCTTGCAAAGGTATACTGAAACTAGAGGAGAACTGAAAGGTGAAAATAATTATATAATCTGGAGAATAGATGTGTATTTCTGACATTGTTTTGGTGGACCATGACAGACCAGTTGTGGTTGGGGATTATCTGTATGGAAGTACCAAATATGGTACAACCTACATTTGGTTGGAGCAGGAACAAGGAAGACACTTAAGTACAGCAACCTATGCTGTCCAGTGATAAGAAATCAGGTATGCTAATATCACATTTCAGTGCTGATTGTTTTATAGAGCACAGTGTTGCAGAGACAGTCTTCTAGTGCAGGCTGCCTAAATTACTGTTTTGGTATTATTGCTAAGGAACACTAATCTAGCTACTGATACGTGCATATAAATTTGTTGATTTAGAATTGAATGGCAAAAATTTTGATACAATCATAGAATGGGTTGGGTTGGAAGGAACCTTAAAGACCATCTAGTTCCAACCCCCCTGCCATGGGCAGGGACACCTTCCACTAGACCAGGTTGCTCAAAGCCTCATCCAGCCTGGCCTTGAACACTTCCAGGGAGGGGGCATCCACAGCTTCTCTGGGCAACCTGTTCCAGTGCCTCACCACGCTCTCCATGAAGAACTTCTTCCTGATATCTAATCTAAAACTCCCCGCTTTCAATTTAAACCCGTTCCCCCTTGTCCTGTCACTACAGGCCCTTGTAAAAAGTCCCCCCCAGCTTCCTTGTAGCCACTTCAGGTACTGGAAGGTGCTGTAAAGGTCCCTGGGACATTCTGTTCTCCAAGTAGAACAAATACTCCATTCTCAGCTTATCCTCATAGGAGAAGTCCTCCAGCCTGCTGACCATCTCCATGGCCCTCCTTTGGACTCACTCCAACAGGCCCTACTTATGTTGGGGACCCCAGGTGGGGTCTCACAAGAACAGTGTAGAGGGGCAGAATCACCTCCCTCGACCTGCTGGCCACACTTCTCCTGATACAGCCCAGGATACGGTTGGCTTTCTGGGCTGCCAGCGCACACTGCCAGCTCATGTTCAGCTTTTCATCCACCAGTACTCCAACCTCCTTCTCCTCAGGGCTTCTCTCGATCCATTCTCCACCCAGCCTGTACTTGTATTTGGGATTGGGATTGCACCCTGACCCCCGTGCAGGACGTTGCCCTTTTGCCTTGTTGAACTCCATGAGGTTGGCAGTGGCCCACCTCTCCAGCCTGTCCAGGTCCCTCTGGATGGCATCCCTTCCCTCCAGCGTGTTGACTGCACCACACAGCGTGGTGTCGTCAGCAAACTTGCTGAGGGTGCGCTCGATCCCACCGTCCATGTGGCCAACAAAAATGTTGAACAGCGCCGATCCCAATACCAGCTCCAGAGGAACGCTACTTGTCACTGGTCTCCACTTGGACATTGAGCTGTTGACCACAACCCTTTGCGTGTGACCTTCCATGCAAATCACTGAGTGGTCCCTCTGTCAAGTCCATGTCTGTCTAATTCAGAGACAAGTTTGTATAGGCTTGGGTGGAAACCCAGGGCTGGGGAAAGAAATAATGTACAAGTGTTAGTCACTTAAGCAAAAGATAGAAAAAATGTTAAATTCTTCAAACACCTGCTGGGAAAATACGATGTATCCAAAGTTATGGGGCTCAATAATTCAATTTACTGTCTGAAAGCCAGGTTAGCCTAAAGTAGTGGTCCCTCTTGCACTGTATACCGTGAACATGTGAATGAACCTGGTCTGAGACTAAGTCTATTTCAGTGTTGCCCGTGTCACTTTAAAGGCTGCTCATCAATATAGTTGTCATATCCATTCTCTTTTAAGACTTTCAGCAAACTTTGAGCAAAGATAAATACTTGGGAGTTATCTGGAGTAATTGTCTGGTAAAATAACTGAGGCCATGCTCACATCACCCTTATGTTGAGTCATTCCCTGCTCCCTCCACTCCCCACCCCCCAAAAAAAAAAGTAATAAAGTCAGTGGAATGGCTTCAGAAGTTAGGTATTCCTCAATACAAGTGAGGATATTTGAATCTGAACTTTTGTGTAGTGTCTGTCCATAACATGACAGAGACTGCAGGGACTTCTACCTATTATCCTGCAAAGGCTTGTCAGAGATGAGGACTGTAATTGATAATATCATAAAAGGAGTTACTTGTGAAGGTTCCATGGATATAAAGCATATTTCTAATTTGGCATCCTGTGGGAAGTCGTATCCTAAATTATAAGGCATAGACTATAAAACTAGCTTTGATCTTTTAGAAAATTACCCAATGTTGAAGACACAATGAAGTAGAGGGGAAAATTCAGACAATTTGTCATCTGGGGTTAGGATATGATGGTATATGTAATGGTTCTGCTCCATGAAAATGTGAGAGACTGTATTTTACTGTACTCTATCCACTGGAGAAAAATAGGAGGAATGCTGATTTTTTCCACATGGATGGATGTATATATTTCTACAGAGTATTGTTAAAAATTAGGTATAAATGGAATCCATCCCATTATAGGAAAGGAGATGAGGTAAATTATGGCATGCAGTTCATTATCAAATAGCAGTTACTTTTCATAGCAAGAAATCTAAAGTGACATCATGGCCTTTCTTCTGATAAGTTAGAATAATGGAGATCTTTAAATATGGATTATGCATTGTGTGAGTTATGACCCAGGTAAACCCAATAGGGCGTGAAAATGACATGCTGTCTGTCACATACTGGGTAAAGGGTTTAGTAAGCAGAAAGCTTTGGCTATAAAGGTTTGACATATTCAGCTTTTATGGCTTGTGGAGTTCTGCATGATTTTTAAATATGGAATTTCTTTAAGTTTTCAACTTATCGTTGACAAATGCTTTCTCAGTTTCTCACCATTTAATGAACCAGAGGTTTTCCTTTTTAGAGCATTGAGTCTCTCAAAGTGGAACGGAGTGCGAGATGTCTGACATTCTTTTGTCTCTGTTGTCTTTTCAGAGAATAGCGGCTATAAAACAGGCCTTGAATGCACACAACATCAGTTTCTTTCTGAGGGGAGGATACTGGGTCTTAGTGACTTTAGCTGACTCTGGTTCAGGTAAATATATAAAAAAGGCTCCCAACAGACCAACCTTTGGATGCTTTTCTGAATTCTGTTAAGTTCAGGGGAAAATATTTGTATTTATATACGTATACCTATACAGGCATGTACTTACTTGGTACTTGTTACATACAGACACACACATATATGTGTATATATACATATATGTGTGTGTATATGTGTATGTAAATATATATGCATGCACACACGTCTATATGGATATATTTTTATTTGATACTTGTTAAAAATCACCACAAAATAAATATTTCTTGCATATTTCCATTTTGACATACCTCATGATTTGTATCAGAAGCTTCTTGCTGTTTTCTGCGTAACCAGGACATTAAGTAAATACTTTTATTGTACAAAACAGTGCCCTGAAGGAAAAGCCAACCAGGTTTCAAAAAAAAAACATCTGGTGAAGCACTTTGGCTGCTCTGGCTGCTGAGAAAGCAGAGCTTCTTTCCTTAAGCCAGATATAATTCCAGGGTCTTGGGACGTAGCCTTGCATCACTGCCTTATATCTCTGATCTTCAAATCAACTGGTGTGAAGCTTGCTGTAGGGTCTCCACATTGCTAATCCTGTCCTGAGATAAATTATATGCTTTTTCTGTGTTTAAAACAAATGGAAAATGCATTCATTTCCTGCATCTCTGGATTCACTTTGTACCTGGAAACTGGTTGAAGAGAGTATGTGTGCATAGATGTGTGTGCATTTTAAACAGAGGTATGTTAAAATGATGCTTTAAGCGGAAGGTTCAGCTTTAACTTGAACCTTGTATTAGAATGTCTTGTAATTGTTATTTCTGTATCATATCCATAATATATCCTTCTTTCTTATTTCATTGTGTTGTGGGAGAACAGCTTAGCTGACCACAATCAATTTATATAAATACTGGTGTGATATTTTCTGTGTCAGCTCTCTGACAGCTTTTTGAAGACAAAGCTCTTTTATCTACTCAAATGTAGAATCATGCTACAGTTTTGCTGTGGTACCTCATCTGGTTTAAAGAGCTAACATGCGTTAACCAGCACAAAAGACTGGGATTAAAAGAGGTTCATGTTCATTCCAGCCTTTACCAATGTATGACCCTGATGAGTTCAGTTGTTGTCCTTAGTTTCTCCATCTGTGAAATTAATACAGCCCTGCTTTTGCAATGTGTGTACATAAGGTATGTGATCGTTTCCTATGATAACCTTAGATTCCCATTTAAAAAAAAAAAAACAAAAGCCACACACTGAGTATGCAGACAATTAAAACTTCAGAGGGGTTTTTTTTTGGTGGTTTTGTTTGTTTTTAATTGCTCCTCTGTCCTTCAGTCACAAGTCACTAATTAATTTTTGTTTACTGCCTTTTTGAGGAAGCTACAGATGGAGTGAAGAGGTTACACAAATAACAAATCTTTTTAACGTGGCAATTAAATAGAAAAGAAAGCCCAAGAATGTTACTGATCCAAAAGACTGCATGCTAAGCTGTTCTTTTATTTCATATTTCAGACTCTCAGAGGATTGGAGGAGGCAGTGGCTACTGGGCTATTGTGGTTCTCTTTGTTATCTGTCTAGTCGCAGTTGGGGCTTTCATCCTCTACAAGTTCAAAAGGTAAGTAAACCTTGATCAACAACATCTACATTTTAAGGATGAGGTTTAGCCACAGATCAGCAGAAGTGTTCGTTATTTGAAAAAGAGGTTTCCTGAATAATTGCAAGAAGTCCACCGCTTTGAAAATCATGTTTTTCTGAACTTTTCAAACATCAAGATACTGCACTGATGCTTACTTTCACTTGCTGTCTACCAAAATAAATAGCAGCAACATGGGAAGTGTGGAGAGTTTGCTCAGCTTGTCTAAATAATATCATCAAGAAAGAGAGCTGAGCTAAAATATTATTCCTGATTAATTCCTACCTTATTACTCGTAGCAGTTATGAATAAACTAAAGCTGTCGGGACGACTGCATCTGCAATGCTGATTCGCTTAAAAAAAGGAGTTTTATCAAAATGCGTAGCTCTCTGGAGTTTCTCTTTGCACACATTACATTTTAATTGCTGGTGCTATGCCATGTAGAATGAGTGATGGAAATACATTAACATTAATTTGACACTGGAGCGTGTTGAGGGGAGAAATAATTCTGGAATTGGCCCTTATAAGAGACGGACTCTCAAAATTGACAAGGGATACCATGTCAGTCTTTGCCAGTCTAATATATTTTTGGTTCACACTTGATTTTAATCAGAGCTACTAGGGTGCTGTGCAATTTAAAGAATTTTGGTCTTGTTCATTAATCTGTGTTATTATTGGCTATGGTCTTGGTATTTTTCTCTCTCTGGTCTATTTAGAAGCCATTGGGTTTGAGCATACTGGAAACAAGCCTTCATTATCATCAAATCCTGATGTCCATAGTCAGGATTCCTATTGATTTGTCTCATCGTATAAATACTGGTTTTTATTTGATATAAACTTAAGTGTATAGAAATGGATATGGCACTGAATTTGTGATAGCAGTAAGCATAGATAGCATTTAAGTAAGCATTCATTTAGATAATGAGTTTTTAAGTCAATAGAGAAAACCCCTTTTTTCCAAGAATCTCTTCATTTTCTCACTGCAGCATATTAAGTTTCTTAAGGCCCATAGTGGCTGATTGCTCTAAAGAACAAAGCACAGAGTGCTGTATCAGACTGTCTACAACTGAACAAAAATCCGTTTCACTATTTTAAGTGCCTGCAGCAAGGAAAAGCATCAAAATGGTTGATGTGATGTAATTATATTGTTTCAGTAGCAATACATGGAGGATTTGCTGTTTGTAATGTGGGATCATAAAACTTGCTTGTGATATCTTTTGAAAGCTGTATGATTTATATCTTTTATTAGCTCTTAAATGAGAGCAATTAAATAACAGACACAATTACTGCATGGCAAAAGAAATATAAAATATTCAAGAAAGGAAGAAAAAAATTATTTTCTTTGAGTTCTTTCTAAAATGCCTATTGAACCATTGCTTTATAAATAGAGCTTTTATTAAGGAGGAAGCTATAGTACAATTTGCAAATTGCAAGCTTTAATGTCTCTTACACTTCTATATGTAATTTGTGAAAATCATTTGCATTTACATTTTGTGGGGGATTAATTTAGGTGCAAGTGAGGAGAATTGTGAAGATATATTCAAATGTTTCTCAGTAGCCAGAAAAAGGCTGTTGGCACTGATGAATGACCATGCTGTAGTATTCAGTTTTAGTTTGTATCATGCCTGTTTCTGAGATATTTGACAAAATTATTTTTAAATATTCCTGCTAAGCTATTGCAAGCCGACAATTTTTTTTGCTTGCATCCTTCATTTGCAATTAGATCTTCAAAGAATATGGAGCACCTAATCAGTGCTACATTGAAAAATCACTTTTTCCTCGTGTGCTCCCTGTGAACTCCTTTCCCACCCAAGTCTTTAATCCCTGAAAAGAAAAAAATCATTCCTGTGTTTGTAAAGATGGATGGTGAATCCCCACGGAGTACTTCCTTGCAAGTATAGTCCCTTTCAAGTCAGTACAGCAAGTATGTAAGTTTACAAACTGGTCCATAGGGACTGAGGCTATGAAACTGAAGCGTCCTTTATAGATAGAAAAGTTACAGGTTGTAATGCACGAAGGCAGCTTGTCAATATTATATGCCTGTGTATTAAAAATTAATTTGCTGAAAGAATGCCATAGGCAACAAAAATTGTTCAATTTTAGGAGATAATTTCAACAGAATAACTCTGGGCCCTGTGATAACTCAAGGCAAAACATGGAAATATAAATATGAATTATTTCCACATAGAAATTACAGACTTGTAAAGTGTTGAAATGTTAATACTGTCCATAATTTTTATGTACGATCCACAAAATTAAGGAAGAGATGGAAGACGTTTGCTGGTGCTTTCTTTTAATTTATGTAAGTTGATAGATACTCCCTTTGAAAAGGGTTAAAACTCCTTTTTCCCTGCCAGGTCAGACAAAAGTTTATCAGTCTTCCTTTTATCACTACACTGATTGAGTCTAGAAGACCTGCAGTTGGCACTGGGGCACAGGCAAAGCAGGTGATCTGCACAAGACTATTCTATTCTCTCTTTCTTTCTGTGTGCTGGCCCAGAGGACGTTTCTTTACATAAGGTTAAGTTTGATACCTGGGAAGTTGCAAGGTGAAGAGACTGGCTTGCAGATAAGATGGTGACTGGGCTGGCTGGGAGGTTACAGCTTCATACATGAGAGCATTTCGTCCATTTGGAACGAGCAGAGGCACTGTTTCAGGGATTGTGATGAAAAGTAAAGAGAAAATAGCAGACTTCTGTATAAGACCAGCTTTGACAGAAAATGGAGAAACCCGTCTCAAACAGCCTTGATGGTTCCTGAGTGTCGAGGCCCCTTGTCCCTAAGTCTGGTCACTGTTCTCCCTGCCTGGCTTTATCTCTGAAGTTCATGTCATAAGAACTGTGATCTTAATTTACACTAATTTTTGTCAGGCAGAGTTGCGAGATGAAAGACAAGTTGACAAGACATCAGGGACTAATCTAATACCTCTTTTTTATGAATCTTGCAGGGCAATCAGGACAGCTGTGATGAAACTTGCTGCTCCTGTTTGATCTCATTTTTTTGAAAACTGCAATACCCAGCAGTAAAAATGGGTGTCCCTTGCAAGAAGTATATCTCACAAAATTTGTTTGAGGGAGAGCATTAATCTAAAAATAACAGTCCTGTGTAAGATCCTGTATCAGATGCCTCATATGCAGAGAATGAAGAGAGCATTTTTTCTGATTAAGTAGGGGGCTAGAGTTAAAACAGGCGGAATCATATAGAGGTAGTGGGATTTTGGCTGATTAGTTATATGCATAGTAAAAGCAAATGCTGTTTTATCACTCCTGAAGGAATGCCAATTAAAAAGAAAATATTAAACATGTATAATTTCCCACTACTCTAATCAAAACTAAAATTGTAATGTCTGCTGGATAATCAGAGCTGTCATGGCTGTCTAGTTAATGATTTAGCTGGCTGCAGGTTACATCGGTTCTTATCTACCCTAATCCCAGATCCTTAAACACTTACTAGGAAGGCTGCTGCCCTCTGTTCTTAGGTACAGTAAAATTGCAATTTAGCATTTTGTCTCCCAACACACATCACCCCCCCCTTCTCCCCTCCTCCGACTTTATCTAATGGCCTATTTATGCATCCAGCCTTGTTCCCTCCTGACATCTCCCCAGAAATATGGTGCTCGAAAAACTGGTGCTGGAGTCCTCGGAGCTTGTGGAGTGACTCCTGGCAAACCCAGAAGCAGTTAGTTGCTTTAGATGACAAAATAGAAAGCCAACAAGTCTTGAGATATGCAGGGACTTGATCCTTTGTGATCAACGTAGATAAGCAATTCAGATTAGGGCTATTTTTACCCAGTAATTGAAAACTAAATTTTAAATAATAAATGTTGATAGTTTTAGGAACTGATTCCAGCTGTATCCTACAAAGGAACAGAGACTGGTTTAGGTAGTTTGCAGTTAAATTTTCAGCATGACAGCAAGGAGTGAGAGGTAACATCCCAGCTGCTAAATCTGACTGTGGCACAAGAGCAGTGCAGACGACGAGTGTTGATGGCAGGCAAGCCAAAAATAACTGTCCATTTCTTTGATTGTACTTTCTGCATGGGGAAATCACCCATCTGATGCCTTAAGTGAACAATATGTTACAATACTCGATAGTGTGCTTCAGTTGTTTAAGCATCCAGGTAAAATGGACTACAGTGGCTTCTGTTGACCAGAACAATATGAAGCAGCTGGAAAATATTTGGGAATATTTTTGGGTCCATTGTTTTAGTGCAGATCTGGGACCTGCATATATTTTTTCTAGGCCATACCATCTTTACTATATTTGGTTCAGTAAAAGAATGATTCTTCCATGCCCTTTGAAATAATGTTTATATTTTTTTGTGGGTTTCAAGTCCCCATCCAGAAGAGATTTCATCATCCTCTCAGAGCCAGCTTCTACCGTGTGGGGTCCTGGGAAGCAGTATAGAGAAGACAAATAGCACTGTCTGCACTAGGCAAAGTGGTGGAAAGGAGAACTATGGTGGAAAGGAGAACTATGTTTTAACCACATCAGAGCTGCCATATAGTCATTATGTTACTAGTGGAAGATCTGAAATCAGCCTTTTCTTATTTTTTACCTTATTTTTAACAGAATGCAAGAGTAGCCAAACAAGAACAAGTAATTGGCTTTTCTGCATACGTGTTTTACCTGGTCAATAGTAGCAAATTCGATTCTCTAAAAGAGTATGAAAATCTTCATCTTTTAATTTGTATGCAAACTACTGTTGGTGTACTTACAGCTGCATACATCGTTTTCACAAATCACCATGAATCTACTTCAGTCAAATTTATACCATTTTGTGCATATTCCTTTTTTCCCCCACCACTATCAAGTGCCACTTTTAGTAAATGAACCCCCTCCTGGGTCATTTCCACAATCTGGAGCAGAACTGTGTTATCTTTCTGCCTCATTGACTTACTATCTCATTTTCAGTCTCTGAAGAAAAGCTATCTTTTTTCCTTACCTTGCTTATACTACTTTTATGTACCATGAGAGCAAGTTTAGTCTCAATCCATGCCATTTAGTTATAAAAAAACAGGCACTAATTTAATGATCCATAATATTTCATAAAAACTTCCTCAGAAATCAAAGTAATAGCATGTAGAAAAGATTTCCGAAATGAAAGAGGCAAGTAAATCAGGAGTGCCTTAAAGTGCAAAGAAGTCAGTCATCTGAAAATTAATCCAAACATAATAAAGCCAACACCACAATAAAGTATTCTATTTAATGGATTATTATTGTTGTTAGTTTTATTTAAGTTCCAAGAGAATGCTACATTATTCCATGTCCTTTGCCATGTGATTATGTTCCTGGTTTTTATACTAAACATAATCAAGCCTCTGGAAAATGAATGAAGTTGCATAAAGGCCAATGAATATTGGCTCCACAAGGAAGGAATTGAAAGCCAAATAAACTAGAGAGTTTAAATGAGTGGAAATCAATATCTCATCCCCCTCCTGCTGTTCCCTAATGGTGAACATTTTTGAGTACAAGCAGTTTCAGGTATGGACTGATTAAAGTTTGTGGATACAGGGAAGAAAAAAAATGCTTTCTGGAATACCTTCTAAAAGATGTGGGACCTGGAGAGCCTGGTGAAAGCCATATGCTGTGATGTTCATCAGAAGTTCTGTGCAGAATTAGTTCTCCACTTCATGTTCTCAAAGCAGGCATGAATATTTCTTCTTCTTCATGATTGAAATAAAATACTACAGAAACAAACAAAAGGAACTAAAAATTTAAACTACAGAGTGCTGCTCGGCAGCGGTAATTGTCTCCAGTGATGGATGCGAAGCACGTGCATTTTGCAGCTGAACAATAAACCCCCAAAAGAAACTATTGCATAAGCTTTTTCTCTGTTCTTAAAAATGTGTTCTCAATTTTCATATTGCTGATATAAATCTCTTGGGTCAAATTTCATGTCTTGTCATGTTTTCACAGTAGTCTTTTACGTAGACCCAAGCATTTCAGCTCTGCCTACTTCAAACAGTTACATTAGACTTAACATAAATTGCTTCCTTAAGAAGAGCGAAACACATCAGTGTATACAAGGGTTTTTCTCTGTATAATTAAGGGTAGTGGCTTCCTTCCTACAATTTAGAGCAGTGAGGAACAATTGGAAAATTGCCAGAATCAGGCCCATCTTTAGCAAGGATTTAGTATCCACATCCTGTTTCATCCCACAGTGTGGTTGTCCTTCATAAACAGAGCATCTGGCACATGTGTTAAAAATGCCTCTTGAAAAGGCTTGGACTATCATTTTCTTCAGTCTGGTTGAGTCTTTTCCTTGTGAAACTGAACCAATACAAAACACACAGAGATCTTTGTAGTGTATAAAAGGTCATATGCTTACGTTGTATGCCTTCACAAGACCTGTGGTACTCTCCTTCCTCCCATCCATACTCCATATTACAATCTAAGATGCCTTCCTCTGTAAGTGTGAGGGGCAAAGGAAAGTATGGAAGAGTCACTGACTACCTACTGTCCACAAAGGGTTTGTACTTAGCAGGATTGGGCTCATGAGGTTTAGGTGAGTGAGAAATAACAGCTTAAGCCTTTTTTCCTTTTATTCATAACCTAAAACTTGGGAGGTTTCTCCATTCAGGAATCCCTTAATATGTTTAATAATATGTGTCGTGATTGTAGTGATCTCTAAGTAGTAAGTCTTACCGGACACACTTTGTTGACCTGGTTTCAGACAGCTCCTCCAGCCTGGGCAAACACAGACTAGCAGCTCTGCTCCCTTTACTTCACTGCAAAGGTCTGATGTGCCATATGGGTTTGAGATGGATAACATTTTTACTATGTCAAAACCATTTTGACAATGCTATTGATGCTTCTACAGTCTGTCAGAAATACAGTTGTGAGAAGGTCCTCTAATTAGTGCAGAAACATATGTTCTAATTCTGCAGATGTGTTGCAAAGATGGGTTTTGTTTCCCTTAGGCATTTTGGCGGTGGACTGAAAGTGAGCAATTTGACAGGTTTGATGCAGGTTTGATTGAGAGGGATATTGTTTTCCACATGACCAGTTTCATTAGCAGACACGTTAAAAACAGTCTGGAGTTACTGGCCCTAGAGAAAAAAAAAAAAATTAATTACCTAATGTATTTGTTTTGGTAATGAGGAATGTTATTCCTTCCTTCAATGTGGCTTTTTCCATCCAGTTAATGGGAGGAGAGCGATGCAGGGCTTGGCTTTATGTGTATGTTTGTGTTGGAGGAGCCCTCGGTCCTCCTCGGGAGGAGCATCTTGTAACACAGCACTGTGCTATCAGACGTTCCTTCCATCCTTGTCCCTTGCATTTGCTTAGTCTCGTGGTTTATTTACTCCATGCTCCCTGAGATAACAGAAAAGAAAAAGAGCAATCAGATTTCCTGCTTTGTGCTGCTTATAAATTATGGGATAAATGCCTGATTTCTGTGTATATGTAATTTTGTGTGTGTGTACATATATAAGTATAAAGGATGCAATTAGTCTGTTGGATAGCAATTTCTATTTATTCTAATTACTTTGATGCAGTGGAAGGTGCTGTTCAAAATAGTTTGCTGCAGGAACTTTTATCTCAAACTAAGAATGTGCCACATGGTAAAGAACCGTTCTTTTGAAATTACATTTAAAAACAGGTCATCTTCAAAAGCCTAGAGAAAACAGAGCATCCTGTGTTTTTATCCAGCTTTCAAATTGCTTCCAGAATATGGAGCAGAAGATGGTAGTTTTTAGAGAGATGCCTAAAAACGAGTGTCACACTTTCTATCTTCTCACTGTCTAAAGGAGCTCAGCAGAAACAGCAGTTTAACCTCAGCTGTTCAACACCATTTTCTCTTTTCTTCTCATTGTCTGCCCATTGTAATAATCTGTGTTTAAGAAAAGACTTTGACAGCCATGATCTGCTGTCATGCTGATCAAGCTGTCAAGTTGCTTCTTTCAGTGTAGGAAGTGGAGCTCACAACCTGCAACTCCCTAATCAGAAGTGTTTGCTTGGTGCCTAGGAAAGGATGTCCTTATGTGCCCAGGCAGATTGCAGTTGAATGCAGCTACAGCAAAGGGTATGGCTCTTGAGAAATGTTTAAACCATAAATTCTGTTGCAAAGGTAGAAGTCCCTGATTATTCCCTTTTATTATACAAAGTCTAATTTAAGTTAATCTAGTTAAGAACTCTTTATTAATACTAAGTCTTAAGGCTCCCGGTCTCAGCCGTGGTGCTAATTCTTCTTTAGAGCTGACAGAGCCATTTAGTAATGTGGTTTTGGTTTTTCTAAATTCAAATCAGAATGAATGAATTAAATCCTGTCTGCAATTAGAGTTTTGTCCAGTTCATCAGTTCCCAATATCCCAGAGTCAAGCTTTACACTCTGCCTCCTTCAGTGTTGCCTGTTTAACTTGACCAAGCACCCCTTCGTCTTATTTGCCATTATCGATGCCTGTTTTCCTCCTTGCTCCTTACCCCTTGGTCCTGGCCTCCTGGTTCTTTACTCTCTGCTCCCTTTCCATTCCCTGTCTCCTGGATTTCTCCTGCTGCTTTCTCCTCAACCCTGATGGAGTATGAGGGTGCCATTGAACGCTATTACCCTTCAGTGTAAGCCCACCTCACAAGGGAGATGTGATGATGATTGTGACGCAGCTTAATGTTTATGAAGACACCTGGAACCAGGAATGAATGGGCCTTTTTATTGCTTGAATTCTTAAAAATAGTTTTTCTGTGTTTTTGTATTTTTTTTAAGTATTGTTCATTGTCTGTCAATCAGAAATTGATGCTTAATTATTACATTGGTATGAACATTGTGATAAGGCAGTTGCATAAAACTGAGAATAAGGAGTTGATAACTGTAAGTTGTGAACACAAAATTAAGGAAGGGTGGGATTGGTACTGGTTTGTGATTCTGGTATGACTGAGCTCTGCTGGAGCTCTGCTCTGATGCCAGCATAAGTGCACTACAAAGGAACGCCATGACAAGACTTTTCTTCTTGCCCAATATAGGAAAATGCCAGGCAGAAATGTCTATGCCCAGATGCACAATGAAAAAGAGCAGGAGATGACAAGCCCTGTTAACCATAGCGAGGACACCCAGAACATCATCCAGGGTGAGGAGTTTATTGATGATGATCTGGACTCTCAAACACTAGGTAACGCAAGAGGTAACTTCATTTTCAGTTTATAAATTTTCATAAGTAACTGATTTTTAATGGGTGTTTGTTTTAGTTTTAGCTTTTTTTCATTTTCTGCTCAGGCTCAGGAAGAAGCAGATAGTACACTGCTAACAAAGGATTATTTGAGTTATCTTCTTTTGGCTTGCTTGTGGTACAGGCTAATGTATGGATGACATGCTATATAGAGCGTGAGTACAGAGATAGTACAGTTTATTGTCAGGAGACTTATTAGACAGTTTTACAGAGAAATTGTATTTGGTAGAACAGGATATAATAGGTATTTGAATTAACTCAATAATCCCCTGCATTAGTGGAAAATAGAGTTTAGGCCAGAAGGATTTGTAGAGCCAATGTTTCCATGATTCCAAATGGATTGTATCTAGATCTATTGCTATGCTTGCTGTCATATTCCAGAGGCATTTAAAGTTTGCATTATTAGAAACATTGAATTTATTCCCATATAAAAAGTATCATAAGCCTTCCTTATTTTAGTTAGTAACTTTCTAGTATTCGTGGTGTGGTCATAAGGAACCCATAAGGAAGACTTTCTGTGAATATCTTTCAGTGCAAATGATTTCACTGCCAGGTGGAAGTGTATATCCTGGCACCCTGTGGTTATTTTTAATGTAACACAGAGTGGTGATCTATAAAGTTCATTTCTTGTAAAATTTACCGTTGTGTTCAGACTGCTTTCAGGTGCAGGGTGAAAAGTGTAGGACAATGAAAGAGGTCTCCAGTTCCATTTCTACACATTTTGTGAAAATAAAACATATAACCCAAAGCCTTTGGGATTTGTAGCAATAGATTCATGATGTAGCAGGCAACTGTAATGTCTTCATGAACCCAAAGAAGAAGATGTGGTTTAGCTGCACCAGAGGGTAGCCTGGGGAAAGTCAGGAGAGAAATCTCTTTATCTTAGGTTTCACTTTTATCGTTTGTTGTCAATGCCTTTATTTTCATTTGCTGAACTGTTGTGCTGCTTCTAGGTTCTTGGAGGTGTTAGCTTTGAGCACAAGGGGAGAATCCAGCCTTCTGCTTTGCTTTGTGTATTTCTGTCTTTTCTTTGACAACCTTTGTGTATGAGTATCACTGTGTTTTCATTGAGGTTTTGCAAGACAACCTTGATTGCACTCCTGACTCTACTCGAGTTAGTTCCAAAAACAACCCTTGGGGGGGGGTGGGGGAAAGGTCTATGTTAAAATTGTTTGATCAACTCATCTGCAGGATGTGTTCTTTGGTTCCTTTAGAGGAGAAAGCTGAATGCTAACAGAGTCTTTGCAGACGTGACTGTTAAGGTGGAGAATTCAAACACCTCTAGTAATGTACAAAAGCATAACTTCATGCTAGAAAATGCCTTATGGCCTATTTACATAAGGCAGCTTGGGAAGCTGGAATAAAGAAATGCTACCCTGATCGGTAGCACATTCAGAAACAATCTCTACTTGCTCTGCCCTTCTTATTCAGAGGAAAAAAACCCCAAAACTCAAACACCTATGTGGGCAGAACATTAAAGAGTGCAAGATCATGGTGTTTTGATGTGAAACTTAAGACATCTAGCAAATGTAGATCTCGGTGATTTGTGCTTCTGCCAGGTTGTCAACACCAGCAGCATTTTCAGCAGAGCATAAAGACTTCATTTCTGTGGATCATAATCATCCGTATTCGTCAGCTATTGTACAGCTTTTAGACACAAGACTTTAACACATAAAACTATATTACTGCACGCTGTACTGTTTTGTTGCTTGCAATACTTTCCACTAGCTCCGGTATCACTCAGTACTGCCAAGAAAATATTCCTGTTAATGTTACTCCTCTGTTTTATCTGGCTGGAGTATGAAATATGTTATGATCCCTGCTTTATATTAAATTCTGGTTTACGACATTATTTGCAGAAGATTCCTGTGCTATGGAGATCCCTTCTAGATCTGGTGAGCCTTCTCCCTCCCTGTTGGGAGGTGCCAGTAGCAGCCTCCTCTCCGTGCACAGGAGGGAGTTACAGGCCGGGGTTTCTGTTTGTTCTCTCTCTTCTCATAACTTTTGAATTTCCACAGTACAGTATTTCCAGACTCACCCATCCACTTTTTTTGTTTTCTATATATTTTATGTTGCCTACTTTATCGCAACCCCCACCTTGGGACTCCTCAACACCATTACCTTGCAGTGACTCCTTCTGCGAGAAGTGGCAACTTGAACAGCTACAGAGTTCCCCTATTGCTGATGCCGGTCAGTGTCCAGTCCCAGGTCAGTGGCATGTCGAATGGACGCCTCAGGTTCCATTCTCCTCCCTCACCTGCACCCCTCGAGACAACTACACCTTTTTAAGCCACACAGAGAACCAACTTATGCTGTCACTGGGATAGAAACCCTAGGAATTCTCCACAAATCCACCACCATGAGCAAAAGCTTTGCGTGAAAGTATGCTGTAGGTACACGGAGCTGTTGCACCAACCTTCCTGTTGTTTGATAAAGCCACTCTTTATGCGATTGAGTTGTCCCTGCAATAAAAGGAGAATTTATGGTGAGGTGCCTGAACTGCACTAATGTTGGCCTTTTGTTTCTGTATTTTCATAGGCAATCACTCAGGCGTGGTTTTGAGCATCAACTCCAGAGAGATGCACAGTTACCTGGTTAGCTGATATTTACAGCTGAACACAGAAAACGAAAGACTCTTCTCTGTATCATTTTATTTTTCCCTGGTGATGTCACAAAATTACAAATATGGCTGTAAATGCTGGTGGAGAGGAGGTTCCTTATTGGTCCCGTGGAAAAAAGTGTCCATCATCAGTTACCGAGGGAGAAGGATAGTATGTCATGTGTTCACTCTCTGGTATGGGAACTCGTTACAATTGAAACTCAAACTACGGTAGCAAATTTGTAGCCCTAGGCACCTTCAATGCCAGCTTCCTTTCTTTTCTGTGTATGCTCTAGTTCTTTATGTTTATTTTTAGAAGGGTTGACTGTAACTTTTTAATTATATTTTTAATTGAGGTATTCAGCAGAAGGCTGGGACTCTTCAGCCTGAAAAGGTGATTTTTACACAAGTGACTAGACCAGAACAGATGGTTGGATGATCACCATGACAAGTTTCCAGGAGGCCAAGTGTTTCTGTGCTGGGAGAGAACTAAGCAAGGAGACAAACACACTCCTAGTCAATACAAGCTCTTAACTTAAACACGTGTGAGACAATCTAATGAATTTAGGCTTAGGCTCTTCTGTGGATTAAAGGAAGTAAAGTGTTAATTAAGATTATCTCATAATATAGGATAATGCTCTTGTAAGTGTAGCAGTCCTGACAAACCATCAGCACCAGTATCTTCCCTAATCCCACTCATGTGAAAGACAAAAACACCAGCTTGATGCTATTTCCAGACCAGGTGCCTTCACTTGTGGACAGTCATTTCAGTTGCTCTCTAGTCTCCTGAGCGAGCATCCCTAGGACGATGGCAGCTGCCAGATGAGTTATCCTGTCAAACCCTGTGCTGGTGGCCTGTCTGTTTTTAAATTTTCAGAGAGTGTAAATACCTCTTTTTTGATCGCTTTCTTTGTATGGTTATTTTTTTAAAAGTTCCTATTAGGGTGGAGGCGCTGGGTAGGTCCGAGCTCTCCTCCGGCAGGGCTGGGTAGTGCAGTGCCATCCCCACATCCCTCTTTGGGATTTTCCCTGGCTGTTTGCCCTTGTAGGCAGGCATGGGCAAACTCTGACCTGACCTCTTCCGTTGGGTTGGTGTGATGATCCAGAGGGCCATGAGAAGCACGGGCTGTGATTCAGGGGTTCACATTTCCTTTCCATCCCCACATGGTGTCCCTTTGTCCCTACCACTGCCAGCCCCTATTGCTGCTGGGAGGATGGTGGGGCTTCCAAAGGAGCCCCTAGCAGAAAGGCTTGTGAGACAGGTCAGAGCTTCCTAATCACAATTTTGTCAGTCGGGTCAGAGTTTCCTAATCTCACCCTCTGCATCCCCAGGGAGCAGCAGTGGGGTGAATCCACAGCTTCTTGCTAGTCTTTTCCCTCCAGTGTATGGAGCCATGCAGGAAATGGACTGTGGTGTGATGAGTTTTAACATCTGGCATCGTGTCTCACAGCTGCCTGGAATTAGGATGCTTCTCTCAGAAACCTATATAATCTCCTCACTTTTGCCTTCAATAGAGAATAAATAGCTCTTTACTCACTGAATGTCATACTGATGCTAGTGGCAAGCTCACACACTACCTTGCTTAAGGAGGATACAGATAACTAACTACATCCTTCTCAATTAACAAACAGAAAATAATGTCTTAAAATTAAGGTATGCATTGGAGTCATTCTTCCATGTAGCTGTGTATAGCCTAGAGCATATTATCATCAAATGCAACAGACGGGGATGTGATAATTCAGTGTAGTACTGTAGGCTCTCACAAACCCCACAGGATGTATGGGAAAGCACAAGAAAATCTAGATTATAAACTTACTGTAAGGAACTATCTGGAAAAGTCTAAGTGAACATTCTGAAAAGCACTTGCAAACTGCTCAGGAAAATAATTTCAAAAATTGTTCTAAAATTTCTGCCTATGTAGCTGTAGAGTGCCATGCAATCTGATTCACAGAGAAGCACTGCGCTAGCTGACTGTTGTATGCCAGACTGTGTAGAAATCCAAGGTGTTACATGTATCTGAGTCCGGGTTTCTTGAAGAGAAGTGCAAATACAAAATGTGCTGTGTGTTGGAAACTCTCAGGTTCATTGCACCAGAGGCTTTTCGGTTCTCACCAACTCTATGCTTTTTCTAGTCAAAATGAGCTGGACCAGAGAATAAAATTAGTATTGCAAACTCTTACTTGCTCCTGTGAAATAAATTTGAAGTGGGTTATCTGCACAGGGCAAGTAGCAGATTAGCCTCATGGACATGGGATAGGGTCGAATTTCTAGCTTGGGGTTGTTCTCCCACAGTTCGTCTGATTGGCAAAGGACACTGTTGGAACTAGCTCACACATCTATTTTATGATTTACCAGCTACTTTTATACATTTAATACAGGGTGATTTGTGTCTCTGGTAACAGGAGTCTTTTGGAACGACGTAGACTATTTAACCGCTTGATACTCTAATTAAGACTCCGCACAATATAGTGCCTGTAATAATGTTTTTTTGATGCTTATTAATTTGATTCATGCAGAACTCCTGTGAGGTTGGTTTGTCATGTCTCAAACCCACTGTTTTCTAAGGAGATGTCAGTATTGTCATCCACAACTGTATTAATAATACCCAGCAGATAATAAAGGAAACCTTTGATTCCCTGGCAAGAATAACTTTAAAATGAATTATTTTTAAACTGAGAAAATACCACTGTCGTTTTCCCATTCATGGTGTCTTGCTTTAAATGAAAAGTCTCACTAGTGCTAGGTTTCTAATCTCTTGAACTATATCCATGACATTTTAGCATTTTATCCTTTATATGTGTCTAAAATCCCAGTACGTGCATAGACCGAAACTCAGAGTTGTTCCTGTGCACACACGCTAGTCACGCATGCACGCACACACACATGCAGTATTTTTATGTGTTCCAGTTAAATTTCTTAGTGAGGAAGGGTGATTTGATGTCTGAGAAACAGAAGATGGCTGTCAGGTACCTGGATTCTGTACCCAGATTTTGGGCAAGTTACTTAAACTGTATGTGCCTCAGTTTCCCCAGCTGTAGAATGGGGCTGATAGTAATTACCTACCTCACTGAGGTATTGTGGGGCTAAATTAATTACTGTTTTTTCAGGAACTTAAGAGTAAAATAATTTTGTGACCATAATTTATTAATAGTTTTGTTTTACTTGTAATAATAGCTGTTATTAAAGGTGTCTACTGAAACCAGATGCAATTTTGTGTAAATGTAAAAAAATACGTAATCTGAAAAAGGTACATTGCAGTTAAAAAAAAAAAAAAGGTAATTTGATTGAAAAACTCCCATTGGAACATATTGTTATGTGGTAGCATTGCAACATTGGCTGTGATTTTGCTGTTACACCCTGGTATCTTAAACTTTTTGGCCCTGTTATTTGGTCAAAAGCCTTATAATAATGGGTAAAGTGATACCAGCATTGATATTGAACTATACTGACAGTGTATTGGCCTCATTTACATCTTTCAGCCTTCTTAAGCCCTTAGGTATTTGCAGTTTCAGAAACACCCTGCACTTTTCAGAGTGCTCCAAGCAGGTACTGATTTGAAGCATTCTAACAGAGCCATCAAGATTTACAGCTGTTATCTTTTCTTTCCCTCTTGACATTGAATGTTTTATATGGTTTTCGAATGGTCCATCCATCCAAAGTGCTCAGAAATGCTCAGTAGACATTTAGGGAAAATCCACATGTAGTGTAAATTAATTTCTCAAAAATAAAAGCACTATAAACCAATGTATGTTTTTATACCCCGTAGAAGAGGGTGGTGGAAATGGCTGCAAAGAAATAGAAGGCCTGAGGCAAGATGTTATCTCCAATTCACATCCAATTTCTTTGAACTCTTAAGATATTTTCATTGAATTACATCCTTCTTGATTTTTTTCTTTCAGTGACCCGTTTAAAGAGAAGTGCTTATTCATATAAAGTAGATGATTTGTTGAATTACTGTCTTCTGAGCAGAGACAAATCAGCACTTTGCTGTTGGTTAGTTCCTAGAGCAAGATGTCATCTGACATGTTTATGATGGTTAGCTGTGTTTTAGGTCCAGTGAGACATCCCTTTAGCGGGAGTACTCGTCTACTGTATGCTGTCTCTTTAGTAGAGGTCAGAAGAATGGAACTGCAGTGGTTTCCATCCTCCTTACACAAAAAACATGCTCAGAGGAATGTGGGGGTTTGTAATAATTTTTAAGAATTTGAATACGTGCAGTAACTTTTTGATGACGAACCAGAGGTTATGATAAGCTCTAAATTTGTAGTGTTATTTCAAGGTGCATACAATGTTGCTAAGTTGATAGAATCAATGACTATTTCTGTCATAGATGTTTCCTATGTTTCCTATAAAAGTGTGTTTCATAATTTTTTGTTAAGGAAACTTGGGGGGGGAGGCGGGAGAGAGGGGGAAGAAAGACCAAAATTTTTATTCCATTGCAGATTCCCTGACAGTTGGAGTTGTTACTGTATATTGATTGACACCGCTGTATTGTTTCCATCTTAGTTTTTATTTCAGATATTTAGATAGTAAATGCACATTTTTCTCAAAATATTGGCTTTCCACCAGGAAGAAATTTGTAAGCATTTACCTTTATAAATATTGATTTCTGAGATGTAAAATTCTGTTGTATCTCCTAAATCCATCCAAAAAGCTGCTTCCTGGCTCATTTTCTCTTTCCCAGTCCCAATTGCACATTGCTTCTACAACTTTCTTTACGAGACTGGCATATATCCTTCTCTTACTAGGGTAAGAAAGTCTTTTAAAGATTCCATTAGAATAGCATTTAATTGCCTAGAAGTAGTTACAGGATCTGCTCAGACCATTTTTCTAATGTTAAGTCTACAGTTAAATGCGTGTTTATTCCTGTCATGGATATCTGTATGTAATATTTTTCACTTATTTTAAGACTATAATCATTACAGCGACAAATTTTGAAATAACTCAAACCCTCAGTTAGGT